CATAGAGGAAGTACGTTAAAGCTGTTGCCAGTCAGGCTTTTCAATCACAGTACGTAAAAACAATGAAGGGGATTTATCAATACTGGAGCAGACAAATCTGGAGGAGATGTGCGCGGCAACCAATCAGCTTCTCTCCTTCATTTTCAAATCATAATTAAGCAAACTGAAGAGAGAAGCTGATTGGTTGCCATGCACAGCTGCTCTAGTTTTGATAAATTCCCACCAGAGAGTTGCATGGTGTCGCTGGTAATAGTCGGCTGATTGCTGGACACAGAGTGTGGACAGAACTCAAACATGGTGCTAGGCTTTGATCAAGGTACATGTGTTATATGGCGGTTTAATGTTCTGCGATGATTTCTAGGGTTGAACTTCCACTTTAAAGCTGAAAAAGTTGAATTCCTTCCTCACCAGCCACAGTCCTTCATTCAGTTCTCACCAGAAACGGTTTGTCAGGCAGAAGCAGCCATTTTAAAACATAAACTGACTGAATCGGCCATTTTGAAAAACAAAGCGGTGAAGTAGCCATTTTGAGTCTTACCGTCTGCACGTGTGAAGGTGGAGGGCGTTTGTTACTGAACCTCAGCTCGCACCCGGCTGTACACCGTTACTGCTGTGCAAGATGCATGATGTCTTGGAGCTTGTTGAAGAACCTAACTTATTTTCTAAATGAGGGCTGCCAGAAACAGATACTGTATACTGTTATATTTGTATAAATGGTTCTACACTTTCTCCGGTGTCTCCTGTGTGTTTTCTATTGGTCACTTTACAATACATTATTAGGGGGGGAATAGTTGGGTAAGTGGATTTAAAGTGATAGTAAGGTCAAAATGTTTTTAAGCCATTCAATATGCTGATGAAATCGCTTACAATGGATGCTTCTCCTTGATATTTAAACGTTTTAGTTTCCTGCAGAATCAGCTGGTCTCCTGAGCACTGGTCCTGATATCCTGTTTTAGGGTGACTCCTTTCCCTTGCAGGGTCCTATAGAGCCACCCTTGTGTGTGCTATTAAGCTGTGTGTTTCCACAAACATACAAGAACAGCAATGCAAGTCACTCTCCTCTCCCCTGCTCAGTGACTCTTTTCCATGCTAGTAGAGTGACCTTGTAATGGACAGCAAGTTCAGGAGCTGAAAGTTGGAGCCAGCTATTCGGAAACATGATGACTGTAAGTGTTTGGGCAAAAAATGTGAAGAAATACTTTGCTGGGTAATATATCTTTGTTTGATCTGGATTCATTATTGAAAAAAGTGTAATACTACTTTACTACCAGCTGCATTTTATAAATAGCACTGGGCCAGGCTTTACATGGAAGGGCAACTCTAAGACATTGAAAGCAATCTCAGAAGGGGCACTGGAGCAGCTTTGCCATAAAGGAGCACTTTTTATCTTCAGATATTCAGAACAGATGACAGGTCCACTTGTCCGTTGCTGTGATTTCATCCTCAGCAGATGTTCCTGTTTATGACAGTTGCTCCTGCAGATGGTTACTCCCTATTTTATGTCATAGCAGACAGTCTTTGATGTCCGCCTGGCATGCAGTGGCTGAACTATCTGTTCCTTTCCATAACAACCGGTTGGGTTTAGGCATTCCCTCTCCAACGGTCATCCAGTACAGATCTGAATCTGACTGTTTGCTATGAAGCAGCACTATTCGTTTTTCAGACCCTTTATTCATATACCCTATAAAATAAACCGGTCGCTGTACCTCCGAAAAGTGTTAGCTGGAGTTGGGCTGAGATTTGTTTCATTTCACTTGAAAGACTACCCTTCCACAGGGTGGCTACACTGCTTTGTAACTTCATTTCAAAACTAACAGCGTTGTCACCATATTACAGTAAGTGGAAAAAAAACATCTGGCAAGGTGGACGGCTAATAAAACTCTTGCTGTTTTGCCCATAGTTTCACCTAAATTTATCAACAGCAACTACAAATAGAACACCAATTTTCAAAAAAGTTCCCTTTATGCATATACCAAATTATAAAACCATCCAGAACCCTTCACCATAATAAAAAGTGACCATTTCACCTGAAAAACATTGTTAACCTCGTTGTGGCCGAGAAGAATACCTAATTGACATCCAGTATGTAAATCTAGCACTGAATGGGTAGAGTTGTGCATAAGGTGGGATCTCATTTGACATGACTAAAATGGATCAGGTTGTTGTACACTATTTTATAGGGATGTTCAGATACCAAGTACCGTACTCGGTACATGTACCGATACTTTTCCAGCTCCAAGACTAGACTAGAAAAAAATGAAAAAGTTAGGAGGCAGCTATCATTTGTAAGGAGCACACGGAGCTCCCGGGATTTGTACATCTCTGTTTTGATGTATGCTTTATTTTTTTAATAAATATATATAAGTGATGCACCGATACCATGTTTCCAAGTACAAGTACTGATACTTGTCCAAGTACTCACAGATACAAGTCCTGATACTTGTCCAAGTACTTACAGATACAAGTACTGATATATTTTTGTTTATTGTCATGTGACAGTTTTTCTAAAAGAATACAGACTAATGATTTCAGGACAGTGGTGGAGCGCCAGAGCCAGGTCCCAGCTCTAACCCTGGTAGTTCTCATGAAAATGCCAAGTATCGGCATTGGTATCTGAACATCCCTAATATTTTATAGGTATTTACAATAGACAGGACGTCAAATTAGTTTTATTCAGAGCTCTCCACAACTGCCAGGGAACCAAGAAACCAGACAAAATCTTTAAGTGCAGGTTTAAAAAAATAAGCGTTTATTGAAAACAACAATAAACATAAATGGCAAGATACAATGGAGAAAGTCCAGGATGTCGTCAGTGCCAAGCCAGTGGTCAGATGCCAATGCGGGTCCAGGAACACTGAGATCAGGATGAGAAGAGACAATAGCTGGAGTCAGGAACCAAGGGATCAGTCAGCCAGAGCCAGGGTCATACACCGAGAACAGGAACAACTGCAGAGCACTTGGTAGATCAGAACACACGCAAACGTGGAGATTGAATGGACAAGCTGATGGTTAAGTAGTGAACAGGTATTGTATCATCACTCGGAGACAGGAATTTGTCAGTTTTGTTAGTAATTGCTGAATGATGATAACGGGTTTGATCATAAGAGGGCCCCAAAGAGGAACAAACAGTGTCAAAGACGCTGCAAACAAGCCATGCTGCACACAACTGAACAAGGAAGGATCAGAAACTCTGACAATACCCTAGATATTTTCCTTACAGGTTCAGTGTTAGATTGAAATCACAGCAATATCATTGAAATCTTTAAAGTATAATACACTTTAGCAAGCCCTGTCCCATTCACAATGGTAAAGTCCCCACATAAAAGTATAGCCTGGGCCTATGAGCCAAGGGGTGACACAGGTTCAATCTGAAGACTAATACAGGTCATTATGCCTGTACTTCAGCACTGTTGATACTTTGACCTGATCAGGTTCACATTCATATATCCAGACCTTTTCATCAGAACTAGGAATATGAGGGCTTTACCTTTTTTCATTTCCTCAAAATGATTATTTGATGTCCAGCAGCAATGCATGTAGTTACTGGTAATGGAGCTGTTACGTTATAAATGGGGGACAAACATCTGGCTGTTCTCTTTCATGAAGAAGGGCGTCTTCAACATCCTTCTGGATGTACTTGCTTCTCATTCACCCTTACGTGAGTTTGGAAGCAATCTAGAAGAATGCCAGCCATTGCCAGGGATGTTTTCTTTAGTTGATGGGTTTGATTTTGTCTACAATTCGCACAAGAAATCTGTAGTGGTAGAGAAGTCAAAGATCCCACTGGAACTCTAGGAGACATGAAGTATAAGGGACAGGTAATGTTAGGAGGCTTGCTGCAACACCCTGAATATATTAAAGCAGCAAAGGGGTGCTTCAGATGCACACATTTTTTGTGTTTTCTTCCATGCAGGATAAACAGCAAGTTCACTTCACTCCTCCACCTTCCTGTTAGCCCATAGATTTGCAGAGAAGCTTTCCTATGTAAACTGCAAATCGACATGGTCAGAGCTCACACAAGGCTAATGACTAACCCTCCCACCCCAACATGACAGTATTGGGGCTGGTGATTGGCTGCTCAGACACTACCTCGTAGGATGTTCTCCCATACCTGGAAGTGCTCAGTATTTCTCTTTCCATTCCAGTGAGCAAACAAAGTGGTAGGCAAACGAAGGTGAGTTGGCTTGGTAAATGTATTTGGCATACTAGATGGACCATTTGGTCTTCATCTGCACCCACCTAGAGAAGAACCTTTTCCACGCTGGACGGTGAAATCACTATATGGTCTCCGGGCAAGCCTTGAGACGCAGGTTTATCACATAATCACAACTGTATTCTCCCAGAGCACGTGTTGATCAAACAGCCATCCTTCTGTATCTTTGGGTGCTGCTATATTCCACCCTGTGTTTATTATTGAGCTTATAGTGTTTTCCCACCTTTGCAGCCAAATTGGGAAAACTCTTATTTTATGTTTGTTACATGTTCCCATTCACATCACATAAGCTAAAGAACTTTCAGCAAAATGCAGAACCTGTCATTTTTCGGCCGAAACAGCGGTGCATCTCTGCTTTCCCTCCCCCCACTGGGCACTG